AAAAAAAACCGAAAAAAAAAAAAGAAAATCCACCCAAAAGGGGAGTCTGATCCTGGGCTGTCAGCTGCCCAGGCTAGCAGTTTGGCCCACCAAATGATATGAAATACAAGAACAACACTAAAAAAAAAGCCTAAAAGACTACCGAAATCTGAACACGAGATGACCTACATTTTTATCTTTTATATCACTACGGAATACAAAAGCAAACCATATATCGGCCCACCAAAAGAACCCAGCCTAAATTCCAACGGAACTGCAAACCCGAGCCCAAACTCTAAAATCTAACCCGACCCGGACAACTATAAACCCCCCCACCAAAAATGTAAAATAGGGTTTTTGCATTCAGCTCCTCTGCTTCACCAGCTTCTCCTCCGATGGGTTCCAAGAGCAAAGGTGCCATTTTTTTTTCTTGCCGCATTTAATTTTATTGTGGTTATTAATCATTTCACTGTTGAGGGAAGGCATCTCCTCAATATAGTTTTTGAACAAAATGTCTGAATTGAATTTGATTTGAGCAGCCAAGAAATCGAAAGAGGAAAAACAAGTGAAGGAGAGCAATGGGATGGAGCTGAAAGAAGCTCAAGAACACATTGGGACCTTAAAAAAGCTTCAAGAGAAGGTTTCATCTATGGCTTTACTTCTGCTTTTACTGCATTGCACCTGTGATTACCTGAATATTCGTCCTCAATTAGTTCATTAATGGCTCTGTTAATTTTCTTTGAGGTTCTTTAGATGATTAGGCATTGTACGTATGTTTTGACTGTCTGTACTGCTACACACAGGACCCGGAGTTCTACGAGTTCTTGAAAGAACACGATAAGGAACTGCTCGAATTCGACGAAGACGACCTGGACGTAAGTCATGAAGCACAGAAAAGTTGATTAGTATCCACATAATTTGTTTCATATACATAAATTCACTTCAGGACAATGCTCAAACCGACCCGGAGATTGAGGACGAGGAGAAAGAAGAAACCGATGCTGATGATGATGGGCAAAGTGATGGCGAGCCACCGGAGGCCGGCAGGCCCACCAGAAACGTGATAACCGGCGAGATGGTGGACTCGTGG